TTTTTTTTTTTTTCTTCAGTTTTGGGGGGCATAGAATGAAAAAGGCCACATTTAGGTAGGGTAGGAGAACAGGCTGTGGAAGGAGAAGGTATTTGATTACAATGTGAATAAAATAAATATTTAGAATGTTACAAGAATGTCAGCTGACTCTCAGAGGTTCGTGTTAATGTTATAGGTTCCTCGAGGCTGATAAGAGCTCTTATCTTATATTTCTGATGTGGAAGAATAGAAGGAAAGCTGTGGATTGATGGGGCGCAGAAGAATGGCCCTTCGGCAGTGTAGGTAGTGCTCCTTCCTGTCACACTCTAGTGTTACAGCACTTATAAGCTGGATGTCCCTTCTGAGGATACTATCCTTCCTGAGGGCATTATGGCCTTTTCCTATATTTGAATCCATGTTTTAAGTTCAGATGAAGCACTTGGAAACTGTGGCACTGTAAGTAGGGTTAGAACCAAAACTTGGGATGAAGTATAACCAAAGGAAGGAAGCTTCATGGACCTTGAAGTAAGATATATGTGTGAGTAGCCTCTCTCTCCTCCTTGATGCAGGGCACATGGACGAGGTGGTTGGGAAACAATTTTTTAAGTCCTTGTCAGTGTCAAGAAGAGGCTTCAAGGGGCTTTAATATCTCAGTCTCTTCCCCACCAAGGCATCACGAATTGACGCACGGTTGATAAAAGGTGTGCTTGCTATACAAATGTATCTTTTAAGGTAAGTCCTCTAGCAAAATCCCACTCCTAAGCGCATCCTGCATAGAAATCTTGGAACCACTGTTGTCCTTTATATTATTTTATAGCCAATATTTAATAAATGCTTTATGTGTATCCAACATTATGTTGTATGTTGTAGAAGATTTGCACTAACGTGTTTATAGTTGAAGAGAGCAGGAAATGACTGTTTTCGGGAAACAGAGAACAAGGTGAGATAATCTGGTGTTAGAATATTTAATACGGTCTGTAAGAGTTATGGGGGAAAAAGTGGCATTGCCATGGGCTGGATTAATGTAGGAAGACATCATTTATCTGGCAGCTGTGAACAGCAACTTAAAAGTTAAGGCAGGAAGGAGGCAGCAGAGTTACTCCAGTGGGTGGAATATCATGTGCCAACTGCAACTTTAAATGTCTGAATAATTTTCTGAGGAACTAAAAATATTGAATTGGGTCAACAGACAGGACACCTTTGTCAAAGCCATAGAGCTGACTTCTAACATTTTCAGTTATATATATTTGCTCAATATATATATTTGAGCACCTTTAGAATAAAGACCTCCCTTCCCTTCCTCCCAGGTAAAAGAAATAGCTGGTATTCTACCATCCATATGAATTTGTAATATATGATAGAAATATAAATTTAGTAACACCTGACTTATTAAAACTTAATTGCCAAAGATTTCATTTCCCATGGTCCATAAGAGAAAATTGCTACGAATCAATTTATTTTTCGGAATTTATTTTTCCTTACTCTTATTTTGTTCTCCATTTGCTTAAATAAACATGGGTGCCTCAGTGGTTCATGTTGACTTTAAGCAAGCTTCTCCCTTTGCTCTCCAGCTAAAGAAAGCCATGCTTTTTTTTTTTTTTTTTTTGTATTATACTACTGTTAGCTGCTTGACCTGGAAGAGTTCAGTCATCATTATATCTTTCATGAATTGAAGTCCAGCTGCCTCTCTTTGAATGATCTTGAAAATACCCAAGATGCGCATAGTTTAGAAATGTAGAACCAAGTTAAGTTGAACAGTTTTCTAGCGGGCTACATTGTAAAAATGGAAAAGGAAATTACATCTTTTTTTTTTTTTTTTTTTGGAAAACATTTGCCAGTTGGAGCCTCAAAGAAGATTGAGTTTGAGAGGCCTTTAATTGTGCACCAAAAGGTTATTGCAGTAGATAACATAAGGGAGATGTCATAAAGAAGAAAATTTGAAGCTCCGTAAGAGAAAACTGTGTGAAAAAGTGGGCATTCTGCCAGTTAACTGGGTGCTTGATATAAATAGGTTGGAATTAAAGAAACAGTTGCAAATTTCAAAGACTTTTGTCAGTTTAACTTAGCTCACAGGGTAAGTGGGGTGGTGGTGGGCACAAATTTCAGTTGTGAAAGCATCCTTACCACTCATTGAAGTTTTGCCTGTCATTCATTAAATATTTATTGTTGGTGAGGTTTAGTAATATAAGATCAGAAAGTTTGTTAATATAATATTTAATGTTAAATTATTGCAATAAAATTTCAAATACGTTTGGGTAAAAGTGAATTATGATCTTAGGTGTTCAGTTGTGGACTGTTGACTGTCTCAGCCAAACTGGGCAAGGTATGGTGAGAGTGTGTAGATGGTAGACCCAACAAAACATTTAAATGGTCCATCACCCTTGGGTCTACTCATCTACTGAAGAACCATGACACAATTATATATGTAAGCAATTAGGAATAAAAAAAAATCTTGTGTTTATAAGTATGAAGGAGACATACAAGAAAACATTAAATATTCATCTTTCCATACGTTTGTCTTCATGTTGCATTAGTTTCAAGTGTAATATGGTTTTTTTGTCTTATTACTATATGCTATACCTTTTCATCCAAAAAAAAAAAGGAGAAAAGAGATTGTCTCCTTTATTGGAAGACATTTTTGCTGGATGTAGAATTCTAGGTTGGCAACTGTACTTCCTTTCAGCATATTAAGATACATCACTGCTGTCTTCTGTCTTCTCCTCTTGCTGTGGGGAAATCAGCTGTTAGTCTAATTGTAGCTCCTTTGAAGGTAAGATAGCCACCTTGCTCTTAGATACTCTATTTTTCTTCTGTTTGATTTAAATATTGTGTTTGTCTAGGAGTAGAATTCTTCTTATTTATCCTGCTTGAGTTTCACCAGGCTTCTTGAATTTGTAGATTGGTGTCTTGTACTAATTCTGGAAAATTCCCAGCCATTATTGCTTCTAAACTTCCCTTTACCTGTTCTTTCGCCTCTCTGTCTGGGATGCTAGTTAGCTATATTTTAGGTCTTCTTAGTCATTCGGTTTTCATCCTCAAGTTGTGTTTTCCTTCTTTTTTGTTCTTTCTCTGCTGAGTTACAGATTATTTGTTTTGAGCCATTTCCCAGTTTGTTATTTGTCTATTCTGTTTTGTCTTACTCTCACTGAATTTTAAATTTTGGCTATTGTAATCTCTTTTACTTGGTTTTTTTTTTTTTTTTTTTTTTTTTCCCCACAACTGCTGTGTTACTTTTTATGGATTCCTATTCCTTGCAGATATTTTAATATTTGTTTCTCTTCTTTTTTTTTTTTTTTTGTTTAAACCCAAATTTATTTTATCCGATTTAAATAAAATGTTTGGAATCACACTTTGATTACCTTTAAATACCTTTGAAATGGATGCATTTTAGGACTATATAATTTCTTTAGTTCATTGTCCACCATGAGCTGATATTCCCCTATCAAGACTTTTACACACTTACATTCATTTAACCTAGGTAGAAAAGATATTTTTGTTGTCTTGAAGCATACTCTTAACAATCTTCCACTGGTAATCAAATTTCTCAATGTTTTTACTTTTGAAAATGTTTTAATCTACTCTTATTTATAAAAGGTACTCTAAATATCCAATTCTATCTTTTTATTTATTTATTTATTTTTTTAATTGCATTTTAGGTTTTGGGGTACATGTGAAGAACATGCAAGATTGTTGCATAGGTACACACATGGAAGTGTAATTTGCTGCCTTCCTCCCCTTCACCTATATCTGGCATTTCTCCCCCTGCTATCTCTCCCCACCTCCCTACGCCCCCGTCCCTCCCTTACTTCCCCCCAGCAGACCCCAGTGTGTAGTGCTCCCCTCCCTGTGTCCATGTGTTCTCATTGTTCAACACCCGCCTATGAGTGAGAACATGCGGTGTTTGATTTTCTGCTCTTGTGTCAGTTTGCTGAGAATGATGGTTTCCAGGTTCATCCATGTCCCTACAAAGGACACAAACTCATCATTTTTGATGGCTGCATAATATTCCATGGTGTATATGTACCACATTTTCCCTGTCCAGTCTGTCATCGATGGGCATTTGGGTTGGTTCCAGGTCTTTGCTATTGTAAACAGTGCTGCAGTGAACATTCGTGTGCACATGTCCTTATAGTAGAACGATTTATAATCCTTTGGATACATACCCAGTAATGGGATTGCTGGGTCAAATGGAATTTCTATTTCTAGGTCCTTGAGGAATGGCCACACTGTCTTCCACAATGGTTGAACTAATTTACAGTCCCACCAACAGTGTAAAAGTGTTCCTATTTCTCCACATCCTCTCCAGCATCTGTTGTCTCCAGATTTTTTAATGATCGCCATTCTAACTGGCGTGAGATGGTATCTCAATGTAGTTTTGATTTGCATTTCTCTAATGACCAGTTTTAAAAATGCTGTTAAGCTAATATTTTAAATTATTTTGTCCATCATTTTTGTTGTTTTCAGAGAGATGTAGATCTGAGTAACTTAAGAAATCAGAAACTGCTAATAGCACAGAGCCCATCTGCTGCTGTGCTGTTGGTGGTGTTGCAAATTGTTTCCCTTGCCCCTTAACGTGTTCTGAGCCTCAAGTCGAGAGAGATTACTGGGCTGGAGAGGTGATAGTCTAAAGATTTATACATATTCTTTTTTTTAAAGTTTAAGTTACAATACCTTCTTAAATTATTATATCAAATTAATAGAGAAGCATTATTTCTTTGTTTTACTACCTTGGTGCTCATCTAGAGAAACTGTGTCAGGAAAGATGATCTTTTATTAAAGGCACTGCTGTTAACGTTCACTCAGGCATGATTCTGTCATCTTTAACTTCTTGGTATTTCTTTCCATCTTTCTTAAATTGCATATTTTTCCTCCATCTCTGTCATATTGCCAGTTCTAGGACTGCCTTATTACTGTGTGTTGGTCTAGCAGCTTCTTAACTCTCTTTAATTACTAGCAGAATTGAACATCATTTTGTGTGTATGGATTTTTGTGCCCTTTCTGGAATTAATCTGTTTTTTATCTTTTGATGAACTTATTTTGTTACATCTTTTCATTAATAATTTTTAGTCTTTTGGGGTTTAATTACACAGAATATTTTTCTCTTTTTCTATGCTTTTCTGTATTTCTTCAATTTGAATATTGTCACTTTCCATAGTTTGTATATTTCAGTCAGTGAACATTTCATCAGTTATTTTGGTAAGAACTGGGAATATAGGCTGCATGTGGTAGCTAACGCCTGTCATCCCAGCACTTTGGGAGGCCGAGGTGGGAGAATTGTTTGAGCTCAGGGGTTTGAGATCAGTCTGAGTAACATAGTGAGACCTGTTCTCTACAGAAAACTAAAAATCAGCGGGGGGCATGGTGGCACATTAGTGTGCCTGTAATCCCAGCTGCTTGGGAGGCTGAGGCAGGAGAATTGCTTGAGCTTCGGAGGTAAGGGCTGTAGTGAACTGTTCCAGCCTGAGCACTAGAGTGAGACCGTATCTCAGAAACAAAGGACTGTTTGTTGACACATTTACCTGTGCTTAGGTTCATATGTTAGTGAGGGAGATCTAAATGCTTACAGTATTGTACATAAAAAATATAGCAACTGTATTTTGAAGCATGTACAAGCATGGCGGTGGGAGTAACTATGCCTTAGGAAACCTGGTGAAACTTTGCAGAGGTAATGTGTTAGCTGCATCAAAATTTTCCGGTAGAAACAGAGGATATGGAAAGACATTTCAGTTAGG